GGGGGGGGGTCCCGTGACGTGGCGCAAAGAAACACGGCGGTGGGGAGGAGGGGGCAAACGGGCGTTCCGTGATATGGCGAAAATATTAAGACACCCCGTCAGGATCGGGGGGCAAACGATGAAAGGTTTTGTTCGGCGCCAGTCGGTGTTTCCAAGCATGGCGAAACAAGCCTACGTGGCGCCGTTCAACAACGCGTCCTCCTCACAGAAGCCCGCAGGGAAACAGCTTTCGTGCTTCAGCGGAGATGAGGTTCAAGTGTCGAGCATGGTACGATCTCCGCTGCGCAAGTGAAAAGGACAACAGGCTGTGGGGGCGAAAACACACTACTGGGACGAACATAGCTTGAGCCAGCTCACACATGATCTTGTTTCTGGGCCTCCGACCATTGCTGTGACGCATTTTGTGGGATGAAAAAAAACTAGAACGGTAAATCGAAACACGAAAATAACAGGCGGGAAGACGAGATATGAACGGACCCAGATTGACACTAACGGAAAAAAAAAAAGAAGCAAAAACAAACATGACAAGCAGAGGCAGAAGCCGGCACCGCGCCACCATTTTTCGACCTCGACGACTCGTGCGTTGCAAGAAATGGAATCAGCTGCAAAGCAGTACCTTAACAAGGTGACGCCAGGCCCCAGATCCGCCACACAGGCCTCCGCCAGGGGGAAGAGCTCGTCCATAATGGGGTCGTCGTTCGGCACGGGGCTCACCTCCCCGTTCTCGTCGAACGCGATGGCCACTGCGGGGTCCTGAAGGCAGCGGCCGCCGAGGCGTTCGGTGCGAGAGCAAGCAAGCGATGTGAAGTAAAACCAGATAGGAGCGTGTGGCAGGAGTACGCGGCAAAAAGCTTCGCACGAGAGACCCAAGCGATGAAAAACAGCGCATACAAGCGTGTGCAAGGAATAGAGCACGAGCACGCAATAAGGCGGGGCAGCTACGAGCGCGCGTGTTACGGTTTACTGGAGCGTGTGCCCCTGGGTGGGCGAGGGCCAGCAATGAAGCGCAGATATGAGCTTGCGTACATCAGGTACATCAGGTACAGCGCACTTGGCCGAAGCGTTGGACGAGAGTAACCAATGAAGCGCGGCCAAGTGTTGTGTAGACATGCAGGTAGAACGCTACCGTGAGAGTGAGTTCCTGAAGAACCTTTTCGTCGGGTTCGTCTCACTGAGATAATGCTGGTTCACGCACGACTGCTGTTTCGTGAACCTCTCAGTCACGTGCTGATTCGTGAATCTCTCGCTTCGGCGTGTTCGTCTCAACCAAATGCTGCCTCGTGAACTACTTCTTCGGCATGTTCGTCTCGCTAGGGAGACGTGATTCGTGTGTCAAGACGAACGAACCTTCGGGAACGCGACGAGGTATCGCTCGCCGCCCACCACCGCGATGCGCTCGGCGTAGCACACCAGCTCCTTGCCGGTCTTGGGACACCCCAACGCCACGGGTTTCGACGCCAGCTCATCTGAAACCTAAACGAGAGGGATAAAAAAGTGTTCGTCCGAATCGTCCGAAGAACAAACAAAAACACCACGTGTTTTATCTAGAAAGCGTTGACGGTGGTTGTGCTATATAACAGTAGTACACGAACACTAAGATGTGGTGCTTCGAAGCAGTAGGAGGAGGTCAAGAGTGACGACACAGAAACAGTGACGACCAGGCAAAGGGACGAAGAAGAGAGGGGTAGAGGGGACGGCTGTCGAGCTCAACAAGGGGGCGAAAGAGAGGGACACGGCGCACCCGGCCTTGGGCTTGGGGATGTACACAAGTAAATCGGCCTTCGGCAAGGCTCCATCACGCGTGCACCACGCGCCGAAAACGGGACGAGGGCCTACAGCACGTCCGCAGGCGGCATGAGGGCACACGTATTTGTACCCCGGCAGAGCTACGAGAGGCCTTCCGTACCCAAAAGGTGGCCACGTGTTGCCATTTTACCGGCGGGATACTCCTTCCTCATTTTTTCTCGTGTCTTGTTTGAGGGGGGGGATGGGCTCTTGGCCACCACGCAGAAAACAACTTGACCAGCAGCCTTGACCCTTGGCTGAAACCTGTTACACATAGGCCGTAAGACCAGTCTCTCCTTCCATTCGGGCCCGATATGTAGACTGGGCGAGTCCCGGAACCTGATGACAAGCAACAAAAGCACACGCCAAAACAAGACAACAGTCTGGCAAAAGACTGACTGCAGTTGAAAAAAAACACGCGGGGATCAGGGCCCCCGAAAAGATAATCGGGGTGTTCATGGTTGCCGCACCTCCTCGAGCGAATCCTTGACGACTTTTTTCTTCTTCATCGTCAACGCCCCACCCGCCGCCCCTCTCCTGTCTCTCCTCGCGTAGAGCCCCCCAGCTCGTCGGCTGCTGCTGCTGCTGCTGCTGCAGCTGCTATGTTGACACGTCGAGGAGGAGGACGACGACCAACCGCCTATTGCGCGACACGTGGGCCGCCGCGAGGTGGGATTGACGAAAAATGCCTATTTTTTGTGGAAACCGGATCCAAGCAGATTCCGCGCGAGTGACGGGAGGTAGGCGGGGAGAATGAATGGGGTAAATATCAGCAGTGCATTGTAGACTGCCCTGTTGCGTGAGGCTTCCACTAGGCCATAATAGAGGTGTGGGGCTGGGAGACCAGAGCCACACCGGCGTGCCGGTCGCGGGGAGGGTGTGGTGTTCCAACCAACAAAGCTAAAATGGTAGTAACTCTGCACTCAACCGGGTTACAGGGGGGAGAGAGGGTAGAGGTGTGTGCTTGTGTGCTTGGCGGAGTTTTGCTTGTTCTCCTCCCTCGTCAATGGACGCAGGCGACAGCAGTGCGATACGGAAGTTACCGCATACGACGCAAGATAGCACACCCCCTGGCCAGATTTTCAAGGCTCGACTTATCAACAGCAATACGAGTGGAGATGCCGAAAACGACGGCGTTGAAGCCTTCTGGTCGGGAGCTCTCCAAAGACGTACCCTTTCGTGTATTCATCCTCTTTGGTCGTGGAGTGATCGAGCTTTGAAATCGGTCCATGGGATGTGTTACTTGTGTCGAATAGGATAGACCGTTGGGAGGGTGTCTTGTCACGACCGCCGAGTTTTGGTGACTATTTGCTGCTGCATGTTCAAGCCTCCGCAGTGCGTTGCGTCGGGGCTGGCCATAGACACTACTTTCATGCATATCAACAGACGAGTTTCCAGCCAGGACAAACTACTTCTGTGCCACTAGGAACGGACGTACTACAGAGTCAAGGTTGTCTCAAGATGTATATATATATATATATATATGATGTACGCATGTTTTTCTTTTTTTTTCTCCTATCGTCGGATTCTGTCGTCTGCCTCTCTGGCCTCTATCCTCCACTTCTACTAGCTAGACGGCCCAACCGGGGTCACATAAGAGGGGGCTGGACCCCCTCCTCCGGTTCATGCCTGAGGTATTTTTATCGCGAGAAGGGTACAGCAATCCCTTCCCTCGCGACTTACGAAGTCGATTATGGGTTACAAACAACGAGCAGCGCATCGCTTTCATCCTAGACCAGGATATATTTAGTTAGAAAAAAACTCACTCTGCCGGGACTCGAACCCATGACCTGGCCCTTAGTAGGCTGCGAGGTTAGCCACTAGACCACCGGGGCGACCGGTTCATGTATCTATACATGCTCAGAAACGAAAGTAGGTTGATGGAACTGAAAACTGCAGCTAAAGCTCTAAGTAGCAAAAAGAAAGTTTTCTCTCCACTCACTGAAAAGACTTCAGCGCATCCCTTTCGACTGTGGTGATATCTCGAACGGGTAGTCTGTCTCTTGGTGAGGTTATGTTTACTTTCTGAAAGCGACCAGTGAGCGCGCGGGCTGTTCACGGGGTCTGTTCAAAACACGGGGTGAACAAGTGACATAGGGGGGCGCAAAGTAGAGAACATACCTCTTGTTGCGATTTGGTGCAACGACGTGCGTTCAAAACAAGTGATTCAATACCCCCACCCACGGCGGCATGCGCTGTCCACGTGCCTCCAAGGGTTTGTGATGTAGCTGAGTCCAAACTTTGACCGCACATCGCACCGATTGATTGCCCTCGGAGTTCAACCCGGAACTACAACTGCTGACCGCAGATTTTGCTGAAAGGAGAAGAACAGCAGTACACCATTCACGGCTTCTCAAGCATCGCGAGTTTGACGGAAGCTCACAGCAAGCTTACACACTTTCCCAGTTGCAACGGTCTGCTTTAGCGTCAAGTTTGAAAAGCTCGGTAACTTGTGACATATAGGTTACATACTACGGCGGTAGGCTACCCTAGGAGAAACGGGACGACAACCTCACACACGACCCCAGCCGGTACTTGCCTCCCTTCCCGTCCAAACGTCAATGACACGCTCACCTGTGAACCACGGAAGACATAGCAGCACAGGAGAAAAAACAAAGCTCGCGCCATCCTTGCTGGAACCCCGTCAGACAGTCCCCCTGGTGCACTGCACACGTGGCTTGTGCTTTTGCTTTGAGCATGTTGCGCTCGACTTGAGCTGCGATTGGGGGGCGCGCATTGGTACGTTCCAATGTTGAGGCTGGGTGTAGCCGTGCGGAGCCCCCGGGGGACGCGCGGCATCATCGTTGCTTCATGCTGCCTGCTGCCTGGGTGTAAAGCTTGTCTCTCTCCTCTCTCTACTTGGTCCCTTGTTGAGGGCATCACTGCAACAGATGCTGGGAATTATTCTTGCAGTGCATGTGGCTATCTCGGTGCTGGTCCAGGGCGAAGCATTTGTGGTGAGTTCCTCTCCCGGCAGCAGCATCAAGGCGATCGTGGCATCATCATACCCGCACCGGCAGCGGACCCAGCGCCCCACGGCGACGACAATGGCGGCAATCGTTGGGGGAGGTCGCATCGGGTGTGCGTTGTACGTGAGTGCCTATGAAGACAAGGGTATCATCGCAGAAGTGGGATTCGTTTTTCATCACAAGTCCTGATAGATTTGGAGCAGTCGGTTTGTTCACGTCGCCCTCGGTAGGTTGTTCATGTATCATGATGGTTCGTCCTCACGTCCTCCCGTATCTCCCATGCAACTCCCGTAAGTCCAGCAGTTCAGGAGGCACCGCCCGGCGTACATAGGTTCGGTGAGGTTCAACCAAATAATAAGGCGTCAATGAAGCCTTCATCCCTTTCTCATTACATGTTGCACAGTTTTGGATCTGGATTACGCCGTGCTCGTGCCAGATCAATCATTATTAACGGGCGCTTTTCCAACCCTTCCCCCCCCCCGGTGTTTGGCCATCGGGGTTGGGTTTTCGTCGCTTGGCAACGACGTTGTAAAACAAGCCGCCCCCCCCGGTGTTTGCCATCGGGGTTGGGTTTTCGTCGCTTGGCAACGACGTTGTAAAACAAGCCAATTCACTTCGTGAGCTCGGCAACCAACCGTTTTTTTTTTTACCTCCGTTT